AGAGAGAGAGAGAGAGAGAGAGAGAGAGAGAGAGAGAGAGAGATTCTTCTTCCTCTTCTTCTAAGTCCACCATCTCTTCTTCCCCTGTCACCACCTGACTTCTCAGTATCAGCAGACTACTACAGAGAGAGAGAGTTGTGACTTGGGACTTGACGACATTGGATCCAGACTTGACATTTGGGATTCAGACATTTCGACGAGGGACTATTTGGGCCTGTGCCGAAGACTTGGTGTTGACGGCATTCCCATCTTCCCCTCCTCTTCGTCGAAACCCCTTCTTCTTCGTCTGTGTATGATAGGGGCTGGCGCAGTCTTCCTGTGTGAAGCGCCAGACCCTATTCACACCATGTAACGATGATGATGATGTATGTTCAGGGCTGCATTGCAATATTGATTGTTCGGATCACTGGTATCTAAGTCTTCCGCTACACCATCTTGTACTTTGTATTGAGAGGTCGGTTCTTGTTCTGGTCTGCACCGTTACAGTATGCAACAGTTGTACTTGCACCAATTCTCTAGCCACATACAGCTATTATATTGGCCATGTCTTAGTGTCTGGGGCATGACAGTAATGGCATGTTGTGGCTGATTGAAATAAATATAGAGAATCTATTAGAAGGTAGAGAATGTAAAATATTTGTTGATAATATGATCAGTACAATAAAGTAAATAATAAAGTAGCTATTTATTATTATTGATTATTATTTATTATTATCTTTCGTATCAATAATCATAAATATGATAAATATCATATATTTGATTCTATATAACATCTATTCATTGTAAGTCGGTATAAAGATATCAGAAATTTACATTCTTCTTATCTTCGTAATTTAAAGAGTCCTCGATAGAATCAATGATATGTACAAGTCAACCCGCCTCCGACGTGGCTGTTAACGCGCTGCATCGGCCGGGGGTCGGGACAGTGAACGACGGGTATGAAGGAAAAATAAGAAACAAAAGAAAAAAATAGAAATTGAAGAAAAGATTAAAAAAATCAGCGGAAAGTGCAAATCAGAAAAGAAAAAAGAAAACGACTGGGAAAAATGGTCGCGGCAAGCGGGGGAGGAGGGGATGAAAAGAACGAAAGAGAGTGTTGGCTTTAGACACTACTGTTACCCGATGGGGGTCACCGTGGGGGAAGATAAAAAGGGAGGCATAGTTACTGGCAAATGCCTGGTCCTTGTGTTAGCCGGGCCCCCACCGGCGGCCCCACCCCTGCACCCAAAACGCTAGGGCAAAGGGGCAAACATGCCGTTACCTGAACTTACCTCCCTCCACCGGGAGCGGTAACCTTCCTTCACCGGAGAGATAGAAAGCTATGCTTGCAGGGGTCCCCTGTATAGCCTTAGGAGTAGTGGTAGCCTGGTAGAAAGGTAGTGAAAGAAAGATATGTATCATGACATGGCAGAACACCAGTTAAAAATATGTGAGGTGAGAGAAAATATATATAGCTGTTGCCCTATGAGGAGAAGAAGACAGCTTAAGAAAAAGAAAAAAAGAAAGAAAGAAATAGAGAGAGAGAGAGAGAGAGAGAGAGAGAGAGAGAGAGAGAGAGAGAGAGAACATCCAGCGAGTTCGCGGTGCTCCGTGAGGCCACCGACTCTCTCTCTCTCTCTCTCTCT